TGGCGGACCAGAGAAACGCCAAACCTTGGCACGTCCCAAATACCGAAGTTAGGCGTTGCTCTGGCAGTTATGGCTCAGGTCTGGCACCAACTTTGGCGCTCCTCTGGCGGACCCGAGAAAAGCCTAACTTTGGCACGTCCCAAATACCGAAATTAGGCGTTACTCTGGCAGCTATGGCTGAAGTATGGCACCAACTTTGGCGCTCCTCTGGCGGACCAGAGAAACGCCAAACCTTGGCACGTCCCAAATACCGAAATTAGGCGTTGCTCTGGCAGTTATGGCTTAAGTATGGCACCAACTTTGGCGCTCCTCTGGCGGCCCAGACAAACGCCAAACCTTGGCATGCCTCGCATTCCCAGATTAGGATTTACTATGGCAGTTATGGCTCAAGTATGGCACAAACTTTGGCACTCCTCTGGCGTACCAGAGAAGAGCCAAACTTTGGCATGCCCTAGGATCGCCCAACTAAGGCTATAGTTAGGCACCGTACTTTGGCACTGATGAGTGCCATGGTGCAAAAACCTAACTGCGCCAAAGTTGGGCCCTTATGTTTGCCAGACCTTTGCCCAAGTTGGGCATTCCTCTGGCGTGCTACCTGGGTACCGCTCACGAAAGTCGGTGTAGGAGCTTGATGTGACTCGCTTTTTGTAACTTTGGAATTAAGTATCGACTTTCGCTCATTTAAACGAAGCTCTAAATAGTGTACCTAAACAAAACGCTATGCAGTGCTTTCCCGCCGCACAAGGTTCGCTGGCGTTTCTGCATGGGTCTTGTTGCACGCCTACTGTTGCTGTAATCCGCTTTTCCCTCTGTTTCCCTCTCCATTATGGCATGCCGTGTGTTTCCTTGTGTTTGCTCTGTCCTTGTGCTGCCATAAGTGTATAAGACTGAGGTTCGATGTCAACATGAGTAACGGCCTCAGTTCACAGAGTTACGGGGTTATAGTCACTAGAGTTTCACAGTTATCGGCCCCGTGATTTTATGTGTATATAAGTTGTTTTCCTCTACTTTACATAACTGTTTTTAAAAACAGCTGTGAAAGATACAGTAAAGTGATTTGCGCAGGGGCGTTGTACGACCAAGAGGACATAATATGGAGAGATAATACTTAAGATAGGTATATTATATATTCCTAAAAAAAATTCTATTAGGGCAAGTTAATTTACGATTCCGAAAAAAAAAAACTCGCTGAATGTGATCCAAATCACTAAATCAGTAAACTTGAGAAAGATGCAAGGTGCGTGGGAGGTTCAGCGGTGCGCCAACGTTACCACTCGGGTAACTGTCGGGATGCTTGTGGTCAGTAAACGTGGATGATGATCGAGAAACGGGTAAACCGTGCGGGCGCCCTTTCACACCACTAGCGTTGCACCTGTTGCACGTGTGATGACTTTCGTGGTACCAGCACGCTTCCCACCCGCGTCAAATCTTGCTGAAATCTACACTAGTCGTTTTCGATGACGCTTAGAACGTTTCTCATCGGAACATTAGAGTTGTCTCCAATAATTCGGAAGTTAAATAACGAAAGTTAATTAAATAACCGACTTATCGTGCCAAATATTCCCGTATATGATGTCCACCAGGTCCTATAACTCACCTGCGCAAACCGCATTAATGCAGTTTCATGGCATTTTTGTTTGTTGTACACAAGTCTGTAAGATATAAAATTTAAAAAAAACACTGCATAGGCCCCATATATAGACATCACTTTTTAGTACATTTGTATTGCATGTCTATGGCAGGCTTTGACAATATTTGATGATGACTTTATTTATTACGGACCGGCAAGTGCTCTAAAATTTTATATAGACCTGCAATGAAGTGCATAATTATGTTTGTCCCGTGTGTAAATTGTAGAATATCAATAAAAGTCCCGTGCGTCTATTTCCTCACAAATCATTCAATAAGCTAATCGCCGTGAGTTACTGATACATCTGCGTTACGTGTTTTTGTAGAGCTAGTTTGTTCATACTTGTTAAGGCGGATGGCTAAACTTTAATGAAACGAATGTAGACCTCTGTGCAGACTTGTACCGTACGCATTACAAGTAATCAAATTACTTGTAATCGATTACTTTTTGAAGTAATTTTGTAATCAGTTGATTACTTTTATTAGGCAGTAATCAAAAGAGTAATCTGATTACTTTTTGAAGTAATAAAATTACTTGTAACCGTTACAATTTTTCCACGGGACCCCCCCCCCCCCCCCGCCACACCCCTTTTTTTTTATGAAATGACAAAAATAATTTTTTTTTTTCGAACGGAAAAAGGAAAGATTTTTGCGGAGCTGTAGAAAACGAGGTCAATCTCTTTCTATGTACAGTTTCTGTGGAATGTCCGTTTCTTTTGTTGTTTTTTTTCGAGCTGGGACTGGGAGTGGGATGCCCCAGAGAAGCCACAGTGCGTGGCAAAGGCCATTCAGGGCGAAGTTTGAGGAAACAGAATGTAGCTTTGTGAGTCCTTCGTTCAAACTAACCCCCTCACGCACACAAACACAGAAATAAAAAAAAATTAAATCCTGCTGAGGGTACCTACTCGCAGCCTGTAGGAGAACCAGAACCGAAGAATGCCTAAAGCGGATGCAAAATATAACAAAGGCAGGTGAAATATTTCCCCTACCTGGTCTTTGTGACAAGCAATGTTCGAGTTGAGAAGTGGTCGGGGCGATCTCTTCCGCTAATGGATACTACACATAATCCGTTTCAAATCCTGGAGCTGCTGCTCTTTTGTATAACATGCGAGCTCATCCACATGTGAATAATAAAATGAGCGACGCACACAATTTGAGCGACAACCCTTGCTTAAGCTTAACAAGATCTAGAACCCCCTCCGCTCCCTCCCCCCCTCTTCCTCCTCTCCCCCCCCCCTCAACTGGCGAACACCCAAATCATTCAACTTCTTCAAACGAATTCTATGCTTGTGTCCGCATTGTGAAGGTGCAACGACCACAAAGAGGGAGCCAGTTTTTCTTCTTCAATGCTTGTGCAAATGTGAAATATGGGTTGGAAGCAGTTCATTGTTATGAGCGCTAAAGATGTGTCTTCACACAATAAAGTAATCGGAAAAGTAACGATTACTTCTTTAAGTAATGTCCAATTACTTTTGCCGTCGAGTAATCAAGTAATCTAATCGAATACTTTTTAGCCAAGAGTAATAGTAATTGTAATCGATTAATTTTTTTTAGTAACGTGTACAAGACTGCCTCTGTGTAAATACTGCGGTGATTGTGTCCACTACTTTACTATAACACAATTCATAGAATTACGAGACTGAAAAGAATGTGCTTTGTCAATGACATGGCAAGAAACTTGTTCAGACATAGAAATCAATTTGGCGTTCTGACGTTCAACGCTGATGCGTTATGCTCACGCAAACTTAAATTTTCGGTCTCGACATAAATATTTTTGTTCTTGTCATTCGCCCAACTTCTTGGTATAAGGCTATAGTCGCTGCCATTCTAGCTCAATACGCAAAAAGAAGAGACGACAGCGGACATTTTCGAGTGCAAATGCGAGAAAATCGACCCACGGGAAATTTGAAAGATGTAAAAAGCATAGCTATATACTGGCGGCCAGCTATAATATGCACTCAACATCGCAACTACCATTCTATGCAAAGTTCGGTTTCAAACGGCTAGTGTTTTTTTTCCCTCTGCATGGTAAAATTGAGGATTGTAATGAACACAAAAGAACTGTAATAAATTACAAAACAAATTGCTTGCATAGTCTGTGCAGATATGTTATAAAACGCTCAAGATGTTGTTTTTGGTTTCATTTTAGGTTTCTTTTACTCGGAATAACTTTGAAATGCCAGCCATTAATTAAGTATTCTTGCACAGTGCAATGTACAATAATACCTAATTAGTGGTTGGCACTTCAAATTCATCCCCATCAAGTGGCAACAGCTTTGTGGTATATGGCAGCATCCTAACATTTGATTAATATTAAATTCCGTTGAACTATTGCCCGCAAACTGGAACCAAGTTGTCAAAAGTCAGGTACTCCTTATAGAACACCCTGAGAACTCTGGAGGGTCTGCTTACCAGCAAAGCACTTCGAAGAGCACATTGGCGCAATTCACCGAAGGGGGCTCGCCGAAATACGAAAATAAATTGTGTCTAGATCTAAAAAAAAAAAGAAGAAAAGCGGTCTACTATGAGACACCGAGTTTCACTTGAGTAGGTAATGCTGAATATGCAGAGTTTTTTTTTTTTTTTGAGTAGGGCGGGGGGGGGGGGGGGGGGGGAGAAGGGGGTTAAACATGTTTTTAGCCCTGTCATTTTCCGACTTCCCTTCGTAGATTACCAGCGATTGGCTCGCCCAGTGCTTGAAGGGGGAGTAGAGTCACCCGAGTTTATAGTGTGAAGGGTACCGGACTTTACATCTGCGTTTTAAGTTCAGCTGATTCACACATTCTAGAACATTTCAGTGTCGCTGGCGCACAACAAACAAACGTGTTGGTCAGTAAAAAATAATGCCAAAAAGTAACAGCGTCCTTAATTTTTTTTTTTTTTTAATTTTATATGCATATATGAGAGCAGCGTTCCTTCCGTCTTAACAGATGAGATTAAACCCACCCTCATACACTAATATGAACGCCGAGGCGACATTCGCAAAAACAAACATTTCGCAGCGTCACAGTTAACCACAATCTGTGGCTAGAGTTGCGCTGAAAAAACCATACAGCTAGAATTTTCATCTCTGATACCGCTGGGAGAAAGAAGCCTCGTTTTAAGGCGCAAAAGTTACGTCTCGTGGGACCATATAAGGCAACTTACGTACTGAACAATTTCGCTAAAACTGGACAACGATTGTAACCATACGGTAGTGTAGGTGTCTTGGGCGAAGTGCGGTTCCAACTCTATTGTCACCATAAAGTTCGCGATGCGGCCGAGGGACCTGTAAGCATATACTATAGAGTATGGGCGTATATGACTGTTGGCGTTTTGTGCGGATAAGCGCAAAGATAACCTAACGGTGGGTTCAATTCGCTCGCGTACAGGAACTTATTTCGCCTGCATCATGATCACGGTAGCGTTCTCTGTGGTCATGACAGTGGTGGTGCTCAACTACCATCATCGAAATCAAAAAACAACCGAAATGCCTGCTGTGGTAAGTTCTGAAATTCTGGTTCTTCTAAATTGGTCGCTACATCACATTTAAAAAAAAGGTACACGGGTTACATTTTACGAGCAACGTATAGCCTACTAAAGAAATGAATGATATCCAGTGGAAGACATTTCAACATTGACCGTGCCTCACTGAGAATCCTGAAATCATTACCTAAATGAAGAACATAGCGTAGCTGATGGTACCGACAAAATCACTGCAAAAAACAGATGTGTTATGAACGAGGGCTTTTATAAAACGATAATGAAAACGTATCCGAAGCCCTTGTGACCATTTCAGCAATTTTTAATAAAGCAATAATCCGTCACTTCGGCAGCATGCTCAAATCACCTGCGGGGTGCCCGCTATCTAACAATTCTCCAGTGGTGAAGTCTTCTGTGAATTATCAAAAAACTCTAGGTTGTCTAAGCTATTCCTCACGCTATCGCTGGGGTGCGCTATCGCTGTGGTATAAGTCAACAACATCTTCTTTCATTTCTATGTCAACGCAATAAATATAAAAAAACATTGCTCGCAGCACAACGAGAAACTCAATTTTTAATTTGCTGTCCACGTAAGCTGTGTACTAAGGTCATATTTATTGCTTCGTGCTCGTTTTCATTTTAAGCAAAGTGACCGAACTGAATAAACCCTAGCGTATACTATAAAGATATCTGGTCGTAAAAGAACCATTAAAGGGAAGCTGAAACGCTTTTTAAAAGAAATGAGTTAATGCTTCTTCCCGGCGTAGTTTTTCCTGGGGAATCTAAATATCACCATCATTTGTCCTCAAAACAACGCTAAATGGGAAAAAAATCGAAAAACAAGCAGCCACTCGCTGCCGCGGAACGTCATTGGCTGGTGGAGCCGTGACGTCATAAAAGGACCAGGCGCGATTCTACTTTGCTGTCGCTTGGCGAGCTACCCTGGCGGTTCAGCATTCAACACAGATTTTCGAGCATGGAGGAAGACTTGAGGACATCAGTGGGTACTGAAGAAGAACCTCGTGTTCCGAGGACCCTCTGCGTGACCCCGTACGCCTTTGAGCCCTTAGCAAAGCAAAGGAAGGGCTCGCGCGCGGACACGACGAGCAGCGCGGAGCCAGCGGGGCCGCTGGCTTCACAACACACCGAGATATCCGGCTCCGCACGTGCTGGTCGCACAGACTGGTACGTATTCTGGGTTCTCATGTGCGCTTTGTTTAGAGAGGTGACATCTGGCCATATCGTTCCCGCTACGTTTGTTTCTTTTTTGTCCTGGAGCGCGTCAAATCTCGTCTTCCTGCACGAGCTCTTGGCACTGACAGTGGTGGCATTTTGCTGCAGGCTATTCTTATTTCCCTTGTAAGCGCGTGCTGTCAGCATTGAGTACCACAACATGTGGCATCAGGACATTGAGACACTCTAGATCATTCCACCACACTGGCATTTTAAAAGTCTGTCGTCCTAGTAGATGTTAAGGTAGGTTGTTTTCCCCGCACCTCGATAGACCACCTTGATGTTGCCGTCGAGGACCGGGGGATCGTGGATGAAGGTAGTTGCTGGAGGGCTGGATGCGTTGGTGGTGATGTGGAGGCTACCGACAACTCGGAGGGTTAACGAGATGAACGAAACTTTACTTCGATTAAAAAAAGGAATCAAACAGTTACATAAAAGACAAGTACGAAAAGATTCCGCGCTGTAATAAACTGCCGCGCACGGCTTACAGACTGAGACGCCTCGGCGTCAGATGATCCTACCGCGCACGGTAAGGACGGCGACTACCTTGTAGCCGCGAAGACGAAGACGCTGTCGCGCACGACAGGTAACGCGGCGCACCGCGGGAGCTGAACGTCAGTGGGGTCGCTCACGAGCCCGTTCCAAAACTCAAAGATTCACCTGTCCGACCAGGGTCTAAAACAGCGTGCTCGAACCTGCGTAAGCCAATCGGGGTTCGACCCTGGTCCCATTGGCTAGAGGAACCAAACTACAACGCCTACACACAGCGCACTTTCGACCAATCGGGTGAGAGGTCATTGCTCCGGGAGTGAACCATAAGCCGAGCCTTGGTTCTCAGAAGCCGAGGATAAAATAAGACTTATGGCTTTCCTATCTGGCCACAGAGGATACACATTCGCGAACGGCAAGAACCATCGAGACATGTCGGCTGGGGCACGTCAATGCCACCGCCAAAGGCCACCGCCAGGCATATGCAGAATATATAGGGAGCGCCTGGTTCCCGGGCGTCACGAAAGAGTTCCGAGACACGACTTCAAGAGCTCTGAAGCACTTTGTCTCCCAGCAAACGACCTGGCGACCGGTGACGTGTTAATGTCTCGGCCGTGGGTTCCCAGGTTCCGCGTCCCAAGGTCTATGGGTAGACGCACGCGGCGCCGAGACAGCAGCCTCTTGTCGGCAAGTTAAGTGTTTTCACGTGGGTTCGAAAACCGGGGTTCCGCATGAAATGCAACGAAGAGGGTGACATGCCCGCGGCCATTTCCCGATACCGGGAAAAGCTCATAAACAAGAAGAATTCCAACTTGTAACGACACGGGACCCCTTGAAACGCGACACTCGACTTCCAAAGCGCCTCCCCACTCCCGACCGAAGCGCCGGCAGGCGGCTAAACTAGACAGAGTGGGGTATGCCGTCCTGTCGGTCGAAAAAAAAGTAATAAATAAAGGCGACCACCTCTACAGTCCTGTTTCAATGTGGCACGAAAAAAAAAACAAAAAAACGGATGCAGTGCCTTTGTTTTATTTTCGCCCGTTGCAAGAGCACTCGCGTATCAAAGCCACCCGTGTTTGGTGCGGTAACTGTGGTTCCCGCGCACATCCGAGTCCAAAGGTTGTAGTGCACGCTGCAGTCAATTCGGCCAGTTTCTTTCGAAGATTTTCGGCTCTCCGAGCACCGCCATGGGTTTCGTCGTCGTTAGCGGCCTTCCACGGATCCTTTCAAATTTAATACTTCATCGGCAAACTGAGTGAAATGTACAAATGCAGTTCTAGAATAGTTCTTGGGAGCGATTTGCGGAAAAAAAAAACAAAAAAAAAACAATGTACTTCGCCCGTTCGTACGTTCACTTTGCGCGCGGTGACAACAGCTGTTTTGTCGCCGCGCGCAGGGTGAACGTCGCCCAGTAAAATTCGTCGCTTTTTTTAGGCATACGCGCTTCAAGAATTCTGGCCGACACGCCTCTACAGACTCCTAACACAAAAAAAATAGCCTCGTAAAAACAAAAACAACAAAAAAAAAAACAGTTGACAAGAGTATACCACATGCTCTTTATTTCTCAATATTTCAACAGGTGCTCATGTGAGGAATGTGTCCCGATGGAAGGAGAGGAAGACTCCATGTGCTGCCAGGAGGTAGCAGCCATAATAGCAAAACAAAAAAGCAAGCGCTGCACAACAAAGACGCCTAATTTCAAACATGCTTGCCTGAATGAAGCAGTTCTTCGAATAGCTCTGGCAAGTAGAAAGCACGACGGGTTCAGGCCGTCCTACCCAATAAAAAGGTAAATATAAAAATTCTTCAAAACAAAATTGTTTCTAATACTTTCTTTTCCTCACTCTTCAGCCAGATGCGATACACAGCGTAGAGACAGTTTGCATTCCTTACATGGAAATGCCTGGGAAAAGGGAACCGACGGATACTCCCCAGTTGTGTGCTCCACAGGATAAGGTGCAAGCACCCGTCTGACGACGGCACCTACAATGGCTTCAGGCATTCTTGCTAAAAGTATGAGGTATGCAGTTTTTTTCTAAAGCACCAATAATAAGCTATGTGAGAGAACAATAGACAACAGTTATACACCAAGTGTGAACCACCACATGTTGGGCTCACAGAAAGGTTGAGTCACAAAATACCGTCATTCTTGAACACCGTATTTTCTCGAAATGTTAAGATGCTCATTCAATTCTAAATAATGTGTAAAAATGTTTTTTCATCATCCTGTTTTATAAATTTAATTACCTTGAGCATGCATTCAAGTGCAAAATATTTTCTGTTGAATCTGAAATAAGTTCATTCATTTGTGTTTTCTATACATGACTTGCACGTGACGTCAGTACGCCCCTCTTTCTGGTAGCCAGAGGCACCTCGTTAACACAGCGGAAACTGTGATCCCACAGGACCCCTTCTCCCAAGTCCGACCCTCCTTCTGGTGGCCAAAAGCATCTTGTGAACACAGCGGAAGCTGCCCTTTCCCCCATTACGTTTGGTCAAGTGACATAAGTGCTAGCTGGGTATATGTGTGTCACTACTGCTTTGCCCTTTGTTTCAGGCCGGGGGTAGGGACCCATCAGACTGCAACCTTGTAGATTATTTCCCTCGCTCACTCGTCACGTCTGTGATGGTGTGGCGACATAAACTGATCCGATTTGAAATGCTAAGGGAACAATCGGTGCTAAACATAAAATGGCGAGATAACAAAAATTTTAAAAGAGGAGAATGAGCAAGATGCAAGGCTGTGCCTTTCTCATTGACACAGTCACAGCTGGACAGGTACTATTGAAGGTCCTGAAGTTAGCTGGGTGCACATGATGAGACTTGGAGCACGCCATCAGGAGGCAGGAGAGCTCGCAGAGTAATGTGGGCCTGTAGGAGGGAGTCCCCCCATCTTGTGGAACCCAGACACCGCAGCCACACCGGCAAAAATCTTCCAGTGTTTGTCCGAGATGGGCACTGAAGGGATAAAATAATAATAATAATAATAATAAATTTTTATTTCCATCGATTGTGATGGTGGGACCCGTGGAAAAAAAGCTGCGATATGCAGCTTGACTGGTCCTCGGGTCCCTACAATGGTCAGCAGCAACGGAACGGAAATAAAAATAAAAAAAAAATAATAAAAAAAATACACACAAAAACTAAGAATTGAAAGATACATAACTACGCACTTGCCTGTTTTTTGAAGCAAATAGACAAACATAAAAATCAACAATTAAAATTTACAAAACTATACACTCTTGCCTAATAATGGAGCAAAATAAAACAGAAAATAAAAATCAGGTACAAATCAGGAGCAAAAATACAAACGCAATTCTGTAGAAGTTTTAGAGTCAAAATCAACACCATCAATATAAAAATTATTTAGCAAGCGTGGCAGGGCAAATTTAAGCATTTGGAGACCATAGTTCGTTCGCTGAGTGACCATCTTCCACTTCTCCGCTCCGCGAGTGGGGTATGGTAGTGAATTTTCCTGTAAACCTGCAAGGTTTACTAAAAAACATGAGCCCCTTATTTTTTCCCTCCTGAAACTAGCACATAGTCTATAGTCGTATAACTTGTAAATAGTAATTATCTTTAAATTTCTAAATATTTCAGAAGTGTGAGCATCATAAGGGACATTACATACGCTTCTTAATATTTTTTTTTGTAACAAAAACAGTTTTTCTATATTGGTTAGTGTCGATGAGCCCCATACTAGATGTCAGTATATTAAGTGAGAGTAAAATAGAGAGTTGTAAACTAGCAATTTAACATTCGTGGGCAAAAAAGAACGGTTGCGATTTAAGATCCCAATTACTCGGCATAATTTTGGAATAAGATAATTTATATGACAATCCCAGGACATGTTCTCATTAAAAAATACGCCAAGAGTTTTGAAGGAACTAACTATTTCAATTGGACAAGAATTTAAACTCAGTGATCTAGATAAAACCACAGACTTGTTTTTCGGACGAAAAACTATTGCTTTTGTTTTATTAATGTTTACCTTTAAAGAATTGCAATCGCTCCAGGATTTTATCTTTGATAAAGTGTGGTTGGCCATATCTATTAAGTCATCACCTCTTTCGGAAGAAAAAAATATGCTAGTATCATCCGCGTAGCTAACAAATTTTGCTTCCCTGTTAACGTTAACAATGTCGTTAACCTATAAGTTAAAAAGAAAGGGTCCCAAAATACTTCCTTGCGGAACGCCTGAGGTGATGGGTTTTACCGTAGATGAGTTACTATTGATGCATACGAATTGTTTACGATATTGCAAGTAGGACTGCAAAAGCAACAGTGCCTGTCCACGGATACCATACATTTCAAGTTTTTTTTAAATAAGACATGATGACTTAGGCAGTCAAATGCTTTCGTCAAATCTAAAAATAACCCCACCATTATTTTTTTGTTTTCAAAATTTTTCAAAATGAATTCTTTTTGGGGAAGTAACGCTGTTTCAGTAGAACAGTCCTTCCGGAAACCAAATTGAGAAGAGGTAATGAGATTATATTTGTTTGAAAAGTTTACTAAACGATGATAGATTAATTTCTCTAAAGCTTTAGAAGAAACGGGCGATATAGAAATGGGCCTATAATTGCCTAGCTCATTTTTATCACCTTTCTTATATAAAACAGACACCTTCGCTATCTGCATTCTTGTAGGAAATACACCAGTTTCAAAAGAAAGATTAAATATATACGTTAGCACGGGAGCAATTATATCAATAACATATTTAATTGGACGAATTTGCATTTCATCAACATCACAACTTGCACTATTTTTTAGCTGCATTATCACATTTCTAACTTCTGTGCTGGTAATTGGCTCTAAAAGAATAGAATTGCAGTTCCTTTGCTGAATATATTTGCAGGAGTCGGAACCATCGACAGTGCTACCTAGATTTACAAAATGATCATTAAATACATTTGCTAAGTCTTTACCGGTTACGTAAACACCTTTGTACAGTAACGTTTCAATGCGTTTCAAAGAGACAAGCTTCACAATCCTGCACCTTGTTCACAGTGTATGAAACAAACCTGATCTGTTAAACCTTGTCTTGTGCTTTTGGACCAGCTCCACCTCTGAAACCTTCCTTGCAGATTTGCTGAGCGGCGGTGGGTCCTCAGCAGTCATGGCAACACAGGCACGGAGTGCCTTGTTCTGCATCCCCTCCTGGACTGCCTCAAGGAGCCTTGCTATGTAGCCTGGAAGAAATAATTTAGTGCAACATAATGTGGTTTTGTGTTTTTGATGTAAACCGATAAACCCCGAAAAGTAAACAGAGTCAGTTTTATCACAATCCGTCAATACAGAAAAACCTCGAATCGAAGCTGTCCTTCTATAAGAAAAACCGATGCTTCACTCAAAGGAATCATAACCTACAGCTTTATCTTGTCCTCACCCGGAACCACGCTCGCTTTGAACTGTCTGCCTGGCTGGCTGCTTATTTCTTTCCGAGAATTAAACCCTCATCTCATTTAATTCTTTCATCGGTAGAAATGTTCTTCAAGTACATATCAAGGTCATCCACATGTTCGCTGGATGCTGAGATGTCCCATGCCTGTGTTCAGAGTGCTTCAGCATAGGCCTCAGTAAATTCAAATTTTTGTTTCCAACACAAAAAAAGACACAGAAAGACATTGAGTCTGTGAGGGGAAAAAACACTCCCATATTGAAAGAAAAGTGAACTTTGAAAAAACTAAAACCCTAAGCAAAATTTGGTGGCAATTGAGCAGCCCCATAGAGCAATGTTGACAGTCACTCCTGCCAATACTTTTGTGAACGTTTTAACAGAATCGATATCTTTTTTCTACTTGCTTCAATTGAGTCCTTTTTTAGGAACATGGCGATCTATATGGTTCTAAACAATCAAATTGGTACAAGTTTTTCTCGCTTCTATGAAGCCCCCCCCTATTGAAAATATTTCTAAAAGGGCCCGTCAGCCTTGAAGGATTATGGGACCTCACAGGCCTTCAAAACCCTTCAAAAATACCCCACAGAAAAGCCCTTCAAGGATACCCCATAGAAAAACCCTTTAGCCCCACAGCCCTTTAACCCGTCAGGCCCTTTAGCCCATCAACCCTTTAGACGCCCAAATGTCTGTGAACCATAGACAAAAATGCAGGTCAAAACACTAAAAATTTATTGCCGACATTTAGTTTTACATGCATATTATAACTCAAAAAGCAACGCTCGTTCAAACCCGGCGCAAGGAGCTGTAGACGAAAGGGATCACATCAAACAGGGACAACTGACATCCTTATCACAAAGAAAAATACCTTTCAAAGTACTCACAATGCCGCTGGGTATATTCCTGATGTACGGTAGTTCAGCTAATAAAACCGAGCAGGTGCACCTCACGGACACATACACAATCTCAGTAAGCACGTTTAGCGAAAACCACAAACTCGTAAGCAGCACCCGCCGCCGTTGAGAAATCCCGAGCACAGTCACTTTTTCGTCCATGATGACGTCGCGCCGGCGTCTTCGGCGTATTCTTTGCTCGCTGGTCTGAAGTCGGACGGACGAAGAGGCGCAAGGAACAAGTCCGGACAGCGGCCGTCATCCACCGTCTCAACACCCACAGTGCCATAATCCCGGTGCGCAGGCACAACATGCGGTGGGACGCTGACCCCGACTGCCAGGCTTTGCAGCGAGTAAGCCGACACCGGCCACCATCTCCTTGAATGCGCTGAACACAAAGGCGCTCGAGCGGTGCTGAAGGCGGCCTGCGCCGAACTATGGTTCACCTGCGGTACCAAGAAAGAAACTGCACGGATCAAAACAAACCAAGGGGCGAGCCCTCAAAACCATGCATGCTCACCTTCCTGGAGGAAATTGGTCCGCTCCAAACATCCAGGCTCGGGGGATAACCGGAACCGCACACGAGCAGAGAGAAAATGGCTATGGCCTCCCCCGCTTGCACACAGCACCCTCCTCCCCCCGACCGCTGGCCTGGCAGCCCTGCACCCTCTCCCCATCGCCGG